GTAATCATCGATGATTAATATTCCAGGTACAAACATGGCAGGACTGATGAGTGGGCCCAGAGAAATAATAGTTGAAATTAAGACTTTGAGGCTGGCAATAGGGTTCAATGCAGCAAACATTTATGGAGAATGGTCTAGGTTCCAGGAAAGAGGTGAAAAAGACAAAGTCCCTGCTTTTGAGTAGCTCATGTCTGCCCCACCCCCTCCGGCCCCCATTCATAGAATCATAGAGCTAGAAGCCTTTGGGAGATTGTATGTTCATTACTTACAGAGACCCTTCGGTGTCTGAATGTTCTTTTCACCTCTTATCATAGGGGAAGAATTTTAGGTAAATTAATTCTTGATTTCAGTCAACAACATTTATTTAGCACTTAGAGCTGAACCAGATACCAGAATCTAGCAATGAGTATGACACAGTTCTTGACCTCAAGTTGCTCATCGTCTGAAAGGGTTGAATGGAGACTAACAAGCAAGCAGACACTGAAAATGTAAAATGACAATTAGTGTCCTAGAACTTATACATACAGTGGGTTGGAAACATGATGAGGGAACCCACATCAGTCTGCAGGAGGCAGGGAACAGCTTCATAGGAGTGTTTGGATTGCAGCTTCTAGAATAAGTCAGGTGTATTCCCAGGAGAAGGCATTCCATGGAGGAGAATGGCTATGCAAAGGAATGTAGGTATAAGACCATGGCATACTTGGGACACCCTAAGCTCATGGTGTAACTGAACACAGAGGTGGGAAAGGGGCAGATAGTGCATGCTGATGATCAAGGCTGGCCAGAACCAAAAGGGATCCGGCCAGATCTTTGTCCTCAAAGAGCCCCTGAAGAGTGCTATACAGGTCAGTGACATGATCAGATTTTTAGAGAAGAAATAACACTTTGCAAGAAAGGCAAAGGCTGCAGGCAGGGAGACTAGGAGGCTACTGTAGCCGTCCAAGCAAGATGCAAATGAAGCGTGTCCTAGTGCAGCATGGCAGAGGAGACTGGTGTGGGAGGTGTTTCTGAGATACCTGTGTGGGAGGTGTCTGTGAGATACCTGCTGACCTCCAAGTTTGAATGGATATAGATATTTACTCAGAGAAGGAGGCCAGAATTCTGGTGTGCCCCATTGTGTGAGTAGATGGGGTGTCATTCATTGAGACAGTGAACATAGGAGAAGCAGGAGGTTTGAGGGTAATGATTTCAGTTTGGGATTGCTGAGGTACATGTGAAAGGTCCAGAAAGTAGATTGCTAGTAAATAATTGAACGTGTTAGTTTGACGCTCAGGAAATGGGCTTACACATTGGAGAATGACCAGCATGTAGGTAATAGTTGAAACCATGGGTAGGGAGATGGAGGAGTAATTGGCAAAAAGGCAGGAAAGGCAGATTGGAGCTATGTTGTAAAGGGTTTTGAGTGATCGCTGAAGGTTTTATAAGGGGATACTATTGGCTAAAGAGCCTGTCCAAGTAGGACCTGGATTAGAATCTAATTCATTAAATAAGCATTAAATAAGCATGTTCTATGTGGCTTGGCACAGGGGAGAGAGCAGAGAACAAAACAAGCACAGTCTGACTTTGCCCTTATGCAGCTTACCGACTTAAGTGGGGAATCATATATTTAATTAGTTTCCACAATGGTAAGTGCTACAAAAGACAAGCACAGGGTTATTTGATTAGGGAGCAGGGCAGCTGGCACTTGGACTGTGAGGTCCAAGAAGGCAGCTGTGAAGAAGGGACATTTAAGTGGTACCTAAAAGATGAGTAGGCAATCTCAGCGAAGGTTTAGGGGTGGCACTCAGGGAAGAGAGAGTGTTGGAGGACTAAAGGGTGTAACCTGTGGGAGCTGGGTGCTTGAGAATGGAGCACCCAGCTCCATTCCAATGGAGAATGGTCTAGGTTCCAGGAAAGAGGTGAAAAAGACAAAGTCCCTGCTTTTGAGTAGCTCATGTCTGCCCCACCCCCTCCGGCCCCCATTCATAGAATCATAGAGCTAGAAGCCTTTGGGAGATTGTATGTTCATTACTTACAGAGACCCTTTGGTGTCTGAATGTTCTTTTTACCTCTTATCATAGGGGAAGAGTTTTAGGTAAATTAAAGGTGGTGAGGTGATGACTAGGTGACCCCACTCTCCTGGAACCCTCGGGAGTTGCTTCACGAGCCTGGGCAGTGCCACTCTTCTTGCCTGTAGGTAGACACCTCAAGGGCCTTGGTTTGTAGATCCAGGTCTACTCCAAAAGAAAGCATTTTAATAGTGGCAGGATCCTCCAATGACCAGTGAACTGCCACCAAAAGAGGCTCCTTTCCTTGGCAGCCACCTGGCCCAGAGGCAGCTCCTGAACGTCACCACAGAGTCCATTACAGGGCATTTATTGACAAGCAATGAGGAAGTGATTTTGTGCACAATGAAGACAGTGAGAGTTGCCTGAATTTGGAAAGGAGCTGTTCAAGCAGAAAAGAGGCAAAACGATCAATGTGTTTGGGTCCACACAACTCACCTGGGAGTGTAACATTTGACTTCGGCAGCAGCGGCAGGATGTGCCTCTTCAGAACTTAGACTGTCCAGGAATTAGCTCAGAGTCAGAATCCAGCCTTGGCACGTATTGGTCCTGATGTGGTTCTTTTGTGAAATACAACAAACCAATGAGAAAATAACCTTGAAAGAAAACTTGATTGATTTTTCAAAGAAAGCAGGAACTCCTATGAAAATGTATCCTAAGTCTATTAACGCAATCCTCCTAGGCAGCTTGTAAGAGAAACTGAACTAGATTGCAATTCCATTTTGCAAAAAGCCTTTAATTTGTTTTCCGACATTTTTGGCCCTTTTTACAGTTATTCCTGTCAGGTTGCTTTATTAGGTGAAAAAATAGCTGACCAGCCACTTTGATTCACGTTTTTTTCCCCTCCCATTGAGGATGTTTCATGCATCTTTATGTTCCTGCCAGCCTCCAAATTCATATTTAAAAGTTATAATTTGTTTTATTCAAGGTAATGATTAAAAGAAATATAGGTTCTTGCATGGTTTTTAGTTACACAAAACATTAAGAATTGCCAAAAGTTCAATATGTAGCTTTAGCACTTATTAATGGGATCTCTGAGTCTGTTTTCTCATCTGTGAAATGGGAATAAATAAACCCGCTCCACTTACTTAAGAGTATGTTTTGGAAAGTAAATGAGATAATGCAGGAAAGAGTGCTGTATAAACTTTGTCACCCCATCTGCTTGATAGGTGTTAATATCATAGTGATTACCATCACTATGACCAATAAGAAAACTATTCACACTAAGACTCAAAGACTTTATATTTGCCACGAAAATTCTTTATACATGTGTTCTTCATTACTCTCCTCTCTCAGTTTTCACAGACGCACATAAGAATAGCATCACAGAGACATGGGAAGGGCTGTACATCCCCTTCCCATTTTCCAAAGAGGAAAAAAAATATTCTTCCGATTGGTAAAACGTTTTAAATGTCAAATGTACTTTAAACCAGCGATCTAAACAGTGAAGTGTATATCACAGTTTTCCTTTTGTTCAGTGACAATGTAAAAATCAAATTTTACATGAAGATGTGTCTTGGTCTGCTCAGATTATCATAATAAAATACAATAGGCTGTGTGGCTTAAACAACAGAAATTTATTGCTCACATGTCTAGACGCTGAGAATTCAAGACCAAGGCACCACTGGATTCAGTACCTGGTCAGGGCCTGTTTGTTCCTCATGGACAGGACCTTCTAACTGTGTCCTCATGTGGTAGAAGGCACAAGCAAGCCTCTTCAACCTCTTTTATAAGAGCACTAATCCCATCTATGAGGGCTACTCTCTCATGATCTAATCACCACCTAAATGTGACACCTCTTAATACTATTGCATTGGAGATCAGATTTTAACATAGGAATTTTGGGGGACACAAACATTCAGGTTATAGTGTGCAGACTGGGAAGTCCAAGGTCAAAGTTCTGGCAGGGTTTGCTTTCTGATGAGGGCTCTCTTCCCAGTTTGTGGACATCTGTCTTCTCACAATGTGCTCACATGGTAGAGAGACATGGAGATCTCTGGTGTCTCTCCCTCTTTTATAAGGACACCAATGCTGTCAATCAGGACTCTACCCTATGACCTCAATTAACCTTAATCACCTCCTGAAAGGCCTTATAGCCAGTGCAGTCACATAAGAGCTTCAACATGTGAATTTGGAAGGGGACATAATTCAGTCCATAGCAAGATAAAACGAGAAGAAAATGAATACTAAAAGAATTTTGTGTTATCCATGGATTAGAAGAAACACTGGTGGGTTAATGTATAATAATGGTTACATCATATTCTGTGTCTGTTTGGGTGCATATTTTAGATTCACTTCATTTATATAAGGTAGTGTATTTTGTAAAGGCAATCCTATGTCTTCTCCCTCTTCATTTCACATCACAATGAGCCCTTGCTATGGTCTGAATGTTTGGATCCCCCTTGAAATTTGTATGTTGAAACCTAATCCCCAAGGTGATGGCATTAGAAGGTGGGACCTTTGAGGTGCTTAGGTTGTGGGGGCTCCATCTTCAAGAATGGGATTAGTGCCCTTCCGAAAGGGACCTCAAAGAGCTAGCTAGCCCCTTCCACATGTGGAGACACAGCTGGAAGGCACTGCACAGAACAGCCCTCACCAGACACCACTGGTGCCTAGATCTTGGACTTCCCAGCCTCCAGAACTGTGAAAAATACATTTCTGTTGTTTAAAAGCTACACAATCTATGTTCACTTGATATCGCAGCCTAATGCACTAAGACAGCCCTACTTCCCTGCCCCCTTTTCCGCGGTGATTCCCATTACTTGGTTTGGGGCATCCCCCTCCTTTTATGGATGAACTGTGAAGAGTTATACATTTGATATGAACTCCAGGAGCAAGAAAGGTTGAGATGCCCCAGTGCACAGAATTGACCTTTATGGGGTGGGCAGAGGGAGGAATAGCAAGAATAGTTCTCCTCCTTTCTGACTGCATCATACTTTCCTTTTGAAAACTCAGGTGACTGTGACAGATGGCGGTCCCTCTCCGAAACAGTCAACCATTTGGGTGGTGGTTCAGGTTCTGGATGAAAATGACAACAAGCCCCAGTTCCCGGAGAAGGTCTACCAGATCAAGCTGCCCGAACGCGACCGAAAGAAGAGGGGGGAGCCCATTTATAGGGCTTTTGCATTTGACAGAGATGAGGGCCCCAATGCAGAGATCTCCTACAGTATCGTGGATGGCAATGATGACGGGAAGTTCTTCATTGACCCTAAAACCGGCATGGTTTCTTCCAGGAAGCAATTTACAGCAGGGAGTTACGACATCCTAACGGTAAGAGCTTCTGAACTCCAGCAACCTTGATTGGGGAAGGGGTTACTTTCTTAGTCATGTATATTTCTCTGAGCAATATATCTTTGGAGTAAAGTATAAAGCCCCACAGCTGTGGAAGGCATCTTTCTGGGAGGCAAGCACAGGTGAGAACTCCTGCCTCTTCTGGCGATATTCTTAAGTAATGAGATGGTTTCCTTCGGCTGTGTCCCGTCAGCATTTTCCCCTATTCCCAGGCCACAGCCTGTCTACCACATACTCAACCACACTCTCTGCAGCCCTAAATTAGTCTCAAGGCACTGAACATAGGTGAAAACTAAAGGTAGAAGAACAGTGACACATCCCACCCATACTGCTCAATGTGTCCCCAAGACTTCCCATAGAAAACAACTTTTGTAATTGTTGAATAATGTGATAGAACATGAATTTAGCTGTGTAAATTGTGAGACACAAATCACAGCAATGTTTATTCTGTGAAATGTGAAAAAAAAAACCTCAAGTATAAAGTGACTACGCTTTTCATTAAGTTGGAAAATTAAAAATAAAAAGAAACATGAGCCCTATCTCATGTAGACATTTAAGCTCCCATATGCAAGGTGCCAGAGTGCTCCCTACTCTCCCAACCACTTCAGCCATGCAGCACCTGTTCCAGAGAGGAGGTGGCCAGCCTTACAAGTGGTGGGCACCATGCAGGATCCCAACAGCCATCAAGGGCTGGCTCTATCTGCCATCCTGCTCTCTGTCCTCAGCTTTCTCTGCTGTGTACAGTCAGTCCTTTAGCATTTTAAAGGATGGCCTGAGTTCCTTTGATTTATCTTTTCACTCCTGTGGTCTGGACTTGGGTTCCTTGTCCTGCTCAGTAATGAATCCAGAACAGTGGGTAGAGAAAAGAAGACAGTAAAACTCTGCCTTCTGTCTTTCTATTTCTGCCCTTAGAAGCTCTGATGTGATACACACTGCTGTGTGAGATGTGCAGTGTGGAATCTTGGAGGGCTGTATAGACTACCATGGGTACTCTCGGTGTCCTGCCCAGATCTCCTTCCCAGACTGGTTCGTCTGTCCCCCAGCTGCTGCAAGAGCTGGGTACTAAGGGCTCACAGCTTCCTCCTCCTCCAGAGGATCTTTCTTGGCTGACTCTTGGCCCAAGAGATTCCACACTCCCACCCCCAGCCTAGCAGCCCACAGCCAACTCACACCCAGATGCAAAAGTCCAATCCCCCTGATTTGAGGTGATTCAGCTCTGTGATGTAATGAACGATTCAGAGCTTCCCATGGGATGTCTTGGGTTGGCCAAGACCCATTACTGTGTCGCTCCTACCCTGCAGTTCTGATCTCTTTACTTCCTTCTTCCTGAGAGCATTCCCCCAACCCAAAGCCATCTGTACCCAAATCCCTGTCTTAGCTCCCAGGGAAGACATGCGTTTTGAAGGGTTCTCCATCCCACAAGGATATTCCTGGGCAAAGCAATCCATGAACGTGTAGCATGTGGGTGCTATGAATTGCCAGTGTTTTCAAAGATTATAACTATTAGTTATGTGCCCATAAATGCTATTTTTAAATGCAATATTTCAAAATCCTTTTTAAAATGTATTTTATTTTGTTTTGTTTTGTTTTTCCCTTTTTGGTTTTCTGTCAGTGTTTTCTGCTTATGGGACTTTGTGACCCTCCCATTTGAGTCCAGGACACCATAGCAGATCACCCTGCACAGCTGGGCAAGGAGACATGCTTGCCTTAGCCCATGTATCAGTGGGCTTACGACCATAGATAGAGAAGAGTCATTAGCACCATCCTCCCCACCACACTGCCTCCAGGGGCCCACACAGCCACCAAGACAGTTCTCTCACCCTTTCTCCGGTGGCATAACTGAAGGGCCTCAAAGGCAGTTAGCCCCAGGCTGCTGCCTTCCCCAGCCTACTCCTGTCCCCCATCTGGGATCCTGTGTGAGTGGAGAGCTTCTCCAGAATAGAGCAGAAGGAAGGAGCTGCAAAACACAACCACATACATACACACACACACACACACACACACACACACACACACACACACACAACTCCATGCACAGCATTCACATGTAAATAAGGATGCACAGCGCATCTTCTCCCCTTTGGAGTATTATCACCAGAGGCGAGGTTCAGGGTCAAGCTATAAAGAATCCGATTAGCTATACCTACTCACGTAACTAACATTCATGCCCACAAAACGCTACAAATTGTAAGTGCAACATTTTCTTTCAGGGATCCTGTATCTGTAAAGTTGGCAGTGATTCTGATACACTCTGGTGCACTTGCTGTGAGGCCCCCGCGTGACTAGGTCAACTCCCCTCCCTTCCCAAGCCCGTTCTCCCCAGGTCTCCGCTCTTTTTCCCCCATTGCTGACACTGTGATGGGGAAGGACTGTTGGCTCAGCAACATGTGAGTGACAGATCCAAACTTCCGCAAGGAGCGGAGCTCTAAGACGTCTTTCTGTGTTCTCTCCGTGTGTGAGTAGATAAAGGCAGTGGACAATGGGCGCCCACAGAAATCCTCCACGGCCCGCCTGCACATTGAATGGATTAAGAAACCACCCCCTTCACCTATACCGCTGACCTTCGATGAGCCATTTTATAATTTCACAGTCATGGAAAGCGATAGAGTAACTGAGATTGTGGGGGTGGTGTCTGTGCAGCCAGCTAACACCCCTCTGTGGTTTGACATAGTTGGTAAGTTCAAGTCTTCCAGAGCAATATCATGCAATGTGGTAATTGACTGTTTGGAGCAACTAGCAAAAAAAAGAAAAAGAAAAAAAGAAAAAAAAGAAAGACTAACAATTAGTGCTAAGATTAAAAGATGTATAGTGCTGGAATACAAAAGAGCCAGTAAAATGAATAATCAACCTGTGCTTTCGTTCCAATTCTGTAGCTAAGCTGAACAGAAAGTGCTCTCTGGCTGGATTTTCCATAGTACGTTATTTACTGCAATCTTAATGTCTTTCTGTGTGTCATTTAAATTCTATTGTCACACTTGGCTAATCTCATTTCTAAATGTATTGATGGTACTAGACTTGCTGTCCTTCATTTCTCTCTTTTTCTTCACCTTTTTTCTGCATTCTGTTCTTTTTTTTTTCTGCTCCCGACTGCCCTGCTTCAAGGTGGCAAGCATGCTCGAGAGATGTTCTATATTCTACAGACAGCTTGTGGGCAGAACTGTTCAACAGAAGGTACCCTTAGTGCAAACACATTTGCTAAAATACAGCTATCCAATCTGCCTTTTACGGTTTTTTTTTTTTTTTCTGAAGCAAATTGAATTACATCTTTCATAACTGCCTGTGACAGGCTGAAGTGCAGCCCACAGATTTCATACATGCCTCTAACAGCTATTGCATTACTCGTATCCAATGACTCCTTTGTTTGAGGTTTGATGGGGTTTGGAATTTGGGTGGGTTGTTTTGAATTTTTTTTTTCTTTGCTTTTGAGGTATGTGGGCTTTTTGTTGTTTTATCTTTTTTGTAGGTTGGTTTATTTAACTGGGCCCTTTCCAATTGTAAAATAAATTAAAATGTATTCCAGCCCCTCTGTTTTGCAGCAGTAGTGCCATTCATATACCAAAAAGCCCCATCAGGAGAGTCCCCTGGCTGCAGTCCATGAAAGGAAGGGCAGGAAATGGAACCTAGATATATAGCCAGTCAGCCCCTTGCGCAAGCTGAATAGAGAAAGCAGATGGAAGCATGCAGGACAGACCTCAGGAGCCAACCTTTACATTCCTTGAAAGAAAGCAAGCAAGCACGCCAGGCTGCAAAAGGAAAAGGGCGAAGCAGCACGATGGCCCTCAACAAACCAGCAGGGAGAGGCACTGGAGAGGAAATGAGTGCAGAGCACCAGGAAACAAAACAGGCTGTTGCTAAGAGGGGAGAGGCGAGAGTCGGGAGCGTGTGCAGCCGGATCTGACACATGGGTTGAGCCAAAGCTGACTTCCCACGCTTCTCTGTAGGAGGCAGGGAATCCAGGAAAGAGCCGGTCTGGGGGAATCATTTCCTTCCACATATCTCTGCCTGGATAGGATGGCCAGGAACCTGCCTCTCTTCCCAGGAACAACCGCATCTGGGGGAAGCATTTAGAAAGTTCCACATCTGTATTAATTAGGCGTAGAAAAAGAACACCCCTGTCCCACCCAGTCAAACCTTGGTAGAGAGTTCTCTGAGCTCCCCAAAAGAAACTGCTTGTTTTCCACACATTTCATTTTATGGAATTGCAGTAAAACATCTTTGTTTTACTTAATTGGCATTAATCACGCCATCCCTATACATGACCGTCCTCATTCCAAGCTTTCAATTCCTTCTTTGTCTCCACATAACACATTGAAATGGGAACCTTTTCTGGTCCATGAACGATGTCTCCACCTATTTATCTTCTCAGTCATTTTCAGCTCAAGAAGATACCGTCTGACACGGTTGCTTCTTTTCTGGTGCAACATATTCATTGCCTGGTTGTCAGTGCAGTCACCTTTGGTGATTCCTTCATTGCCAGCCCTAATCAGAGTCACAGAAAATGCATCTCAGTTTTAACATGTGTCCCCCAAGCTGGGTCTTCAGGGACATGTGCAATGGTGGGTGATTTCTTTTAAATAGCCCAAAGAAGAGTGCAGTAGAAACCAAACAGGCAATGGGATGCCTGCTGTGCTGTTCTCAGAGGTGACATGAGTTGCCCTCTCTCATCAGACACCAGTTTATGCCCCTCCTCCCTGGCTAGTCCAGTTTGCAAGCTCCTCTACAGCCTGGCAGTGCTACTTCTCTCCCTCTCTCTTGCATAATCCGTGCACGCAGCCTCCTGACCCACCCACTTCCCACCCATCGTCCACGTGCCCTGGGATGCCCTCCCATTGGACTCCTTTAGAAATCCTACAAGCACACCTTCTTTGATGCTCAGTCTCATACCAGCCTCCTGACCCCCATTATTCAGGCCAGGTTCACAGCACTTCTGCACTCCTGCACGCATATGTGACTGTGTGTAGGTAAGCATGCCTAGCAGCACTGCATGACCTTACTTGCAAGTTTTTCATGTCTGCATTATTAGTGCGGTAGTATTTTTTCATTTGTGTTTATCCTGTTTCCATTCTTAACCTTTAAGGTCAAGGCCCATGTCTCCTCATGCCTTCTGCCTGCCAATGCTTCTGTTGCTATCTACCCAGGGCAAGTGGAATAAACTGTAGTGACTGATGGAGATGCCTCAGGCAGCCAATACTTTAACCCTACTGATGCCTCCTGAAACCTATCCAGGGTCAGTATGACCTTCCACTGTACTGTCTGTCATCAGCACCTTTGATAAAGTAAGAATTTCCCTGGTCCAAAAAGAGAGAGGCAGTTTACAGATGAGAGCCCTCCCTGGAAGGAATCCTTTTCAGCTGTTCCAAATACAAATCTAGGAACCATTATCAAGAACATGGCATCAGTTTCCAGGTTTCTCCATCTCAGTGTTTCTAAACACTATACTCTTCCTATTTAATCCCCTTGGTTTCAGTGCCCGGAGTAGTTCTCTTAGTGAAGACCTGCAGGGTTGTCCCTGTGGTCCGGATGCTCTGTCACAGAGATTTCACTGTAAATCTGGTAACATATAGCCTAGCTTCTTTCACAAATTGAACTTACTGGGCCAGATGCCCAAACAGAACATGATTTTATTTCCATCCCCACATCCAGCCGACAACATCTTGAAACGCCAACTCTTCATTTCACTGCAGAAGTAAAAATCCTTTACCAGGTGCTGGTTGCTTTCAGTACTGATATAGTCCCCTTTCCACCAAATCCCACTTTTGAAAATCTTTCTAATGTATCCAAGTCATTTTTTCTCAATCTGTTGACAACATATTTCCCCTTCTCTTAATACCTGTGATTTCCTTTATCATAGTCAGATGTTTTCATTCTCGCTTTCAGGATTTCTTGCTTATTTATCTTTGGCCACGGAAACTCTCATCTCTTTCTGCCCTTCCTCCTTACCTACGCATCTTCAGCCAAGCCAACATAGAGAGGGAACAATGCCCCTCAGTGCCCAAGAAACTGAGCAGTGTACTCTAGCTGCTAAGAATAGGCACAAGGCACATAACGTCAGCATGGATCTGAGATGAAGTTTCATGTTTAAGTACAATCTCTGCCTAGGTAAATACTCTTATGACTTTCTAAGGGGAGTCAAGATTTGGTTCCATTATAGGCCCATTGCATTCAGACACCCATAGAGACCCTGAGTTAGAGAACACAGTGTCCTGGCCTAGCGCTTATAAGTGCTATGACTAACGAATGCACATAGGTAAGCAGAAACAGTGTTCCAGCACGCTTTTCCCCCAGAGTGTAGTCTCATTTCCACACTTCCAAGTTTGCCAATTCTTGTTTAACTGTGTTTCTTTTCTTCCCCCCACCCATGATGTGAATTCACAAAAACCGTGTGGTGAGCAAGATTCTGTCCCTAAGCCTCGACCTTTACACCAAGGGTGTGCCAGACACTTTCTCATTCCTCCAAAGGGACCACTGCTTATGATGTTATGAAGCTAACTCTCTTCAGCTTCCAGAAACAGAAGCTCTACTTGTAACTGAGTTAAGAAAGCTGTAATTAAAAGGAAACATAATAAAGTTCAGCTGTTCTGTGTTTAAACAGCCCAATGCACAGCATGTTCCTTCTCTGTGTTAAAAGAGAAAGAAAATGAAGGGAACACAAATAACCCATAATCCTTTGTGGCTTTATCACATATCTTCACACTTCTCAGGAGACTATGAGTGCAACTGCACGGCTCCTTGATTTGCAGACTCTCTGATGTGCACACAATCTGGTTCACGGTTCAGTCCCCGTATCTTTATCCTGATGGCAAATATTTGAATTGTGAAGGCCACCGTTATTACACACTTCAAACAATTCCTCTTTACCCACAGGTAGAGATGGAGGGTGCTGCCACCCACTTATTTTTTAGCTTTTCACCTGACCTAGACTAGAAAAATTATTTTCCTTGGAAATGGTAAGCACCTAAAATATCATTATTTATTTGTCTCCCCCACTGTATAGAGGATAGAAGGGCTATTTAAAAAAATAATAATAATTCTCCAATGGTGAATGCTATCACATTGACCCAACTCTAGCTGAAATATCTTTCTGTGTTGCAGATATGTAAAACCCACCTTGACCCTTAGCTTGTCATAGGTTCCTGAAGACTGTGGGTTCTTGGCTGCTACTATCTCGTAAGCTCATGCCTGTCCTTCTTGAACCTTGTCCCCAGTGGAGCCATTGCTTATTTAGGGTTGGATCGAGTAGGCAAGTTAACTTCTCTGATACCCCTAACAGTGGCTTTGTTCTCTGACTAGAGCTTGGGCATCTCTGGGCCTTCCCAAACCAGGTGGCCATATTTCTTTAACACAAAACTCTTACCCAATCCTCCTGAGAGAACTCATGTTTGTGTACCATTTCTAATATAGCTATTCCTCCACCAGGGTGACTGTTGCTCAAAGCCATTAAATTAACATCAAATACTTCATTTTTCTTACTCTGTCCCCTTTCCCTAATTTCATCCCAAGTAAGCCTCTCTTTTGTCCATAGCAACAATCTAGTCCAGGGAAGCACATCTGAGCAGACGTGGGAAAATAACCTAAAAACACTTCATAGATTATTTTAAGAAAAAGAGTTTTAAACTAGATTCTAGAAGGGATTTTTCTTCCTACCACTGTTTCCTGACCTCTCCCCAGTGTCTTCTGCCTTCCATGTAAATACCCTTTTCAGCCAGGCACTGTGCTTGCTTCATTCCAAGGCAGAAAATTATTCATGATCAAACCTTAACTGGTGTTTAACATTTTTCCTTAAGTTCGGTGTACGTGCCGAACCTGATTGAACAGCTTGTGTACGGCTCCCTGAATTCATTGAGATTCAGCGGCTCAGTGTTTTGGAAGCTTCTCACATAACAACACTTCCCCTTGGTGACTACTAGATTTGGGTTGGTGTTTTTACAATTACACATGCAGTGGGATCATGCTGGGGAGGGATCTGGAAGCTTTTCTAAAGGGGAAGCTGTATGATTTTTCACCGTTGTGTCTCTTCATGGAGAGACGATGGTGCTTTGTACCCTTTTGAAAAGAAAAGCGTAACTAAATCATGGCCCAGTGCTCTGCTGCCCAGCAAATTAAGCAGTAGCTGCTGGCTCAAAGTCCCAAAAGTCTCCATACAAAGGAAAAGTGTTGTAAAATTTTATAATGAATATTTTGTAAACAAAGGTACATTTAGCTATAGTATCCCTACGTATGGCGACTTTTTGGGATACCCTGTATTTTCATTCCTGCCCCATTTTTAAAGCGTTTTAGGACAATCCCACTTGCTAAGTTTAGCTTTAGAAATCCAGTAGAAATCCAACATGCCTCTTCTGCTCTTTGTTTACTCTATTACACCTGTCTTGACTGAAAATGGTCAAAGAGAGACGTCCCTGGTGTGAATTATCTGTTATGTGGGCTGTTCACAACCTCGCTTTTACCCATCTCTGCCGCACACCCCTGCAGCAACGCTCAGGCTGTGACTTTTCTAATTTCCCACTTTGTTGAAACTCAGACCAGCTCGGCGGTGTCCTCCCTTGTCCCCACCTTTTGTTTAGCCTAATGCTGCTGCTCCGAATACACTCTGGCTTTGCATGTTCTGTTACTGGCTCTGAGGAAGCACACCTTGTTTAAGCGGAATGTGCTGCTAGTGAAAATGGACTCCTGGCATTTGATATTCTCACCCTGGATGATTCGGACATGGTTTCCTATGAAAATGAAATCACCTGGCAGGCTAAAAGGGAGCCTGAAAAATGAGACCTGGGGGAGAGATGCGGAGTCATTTATGAAATGGGATGCTTAAGTGGTCGGTTGTTAAATTGCGTGAGGGTTGATGGTGAACTGCTGGTCTAGATTCTGTGGTCCCATGTCAGAAATTCATTTTAAAACTCGGGGAAGATTTTGTTTTACATGAAATCTTGCTTTAACTAGGAGCAAGTGTCCTGGAAATGTGTAGCAGGGGCTGCTACCTATATTGGTAGACAGGGATAGTTTGTAGACTCTCTCTCCAGTGCTCTTTGCCCCCGCTTGTATAATGGTCTAGCTCATCTACCCCTTTGGAGGCTTCTGGTGTACAGTATTTGAAATTATAATGGTGAATGAGAGGGACGCACACACACGAACACACACACAGGAAAAGAGAGAACTATAGAAAAATGACAACCATAAAAGAAGCCAAAAGTGTTATTTGGTTCTGCCTCTCTCCTGCTTGGTTAAAAAAGAAAAAAAAAGAAAAAGAAACGTTATTTGATACAAAAAACAACTAAGAAAAAACACACAGTCTAATATGCCATATGTAAAATATGTAAATTTTATGCCACTAACCACATGCAGTGCTTATGTATTTTTATGTAGGGCCCTAAGAAAAATGTGAGTTTAAGTCTGTGTGAGAGAGTGAATAGCATTGCCCTCTCTCACTGTGAACAGTAACTGAAACTGGAAATCTTTGCTTATAGGTTCTCTCCATTTTATTTTCATTAATCACTAAACTGGAGCAAACTAAAGTTTTATGATTTGCATAATTTTTATTTTGCCTTGACCTACAAATTTTCACCTTCTAAAATAATAGAGACATTATTAGAGACTAAATAGACATAATAGAGACTAAAATAATAACATTAGAGAATGACCCCTTGTCCCTCCCCAAGACCCCCAAAGAAACCACGGTCCTCAGATTTTAAGAAAGTAAACATCTTGATGAAGAAAACATTTTATTTTTTTTTTTTTTGCATTCTTTACAGACATCTTGTTAGGAAAACATTCTAACGCTGATTTTAAATCAGATCTAAAATGTGATTTTGTACCCATCAGAAACAACTTGAGAAATTGCATTCTCATCTTTCCTTCTGCACAGGTCTTATGAGGCAGTTTCACATCCTTTCTTTGAAAGTTTCCATGGCAAAGTCTTTTTGTTGTGCTTTGTTTTTTTTTTTTCAGAATGTACCACTTGATGGCAAATGATTTTTCTTTGCTCATGAAGATGGTTATTCAAGACACTCCAATCAGCCTTCCATTTGATTTCATGTGGTTATCAACATGAAACATTCCCTTTGAATAAGAAATGGTGACCTCAGGCTTGCTTCCCTTTGCAGCCTAGACTTCCCTCTCTTTCTCCTTATCCTATTCTTCAAAAGATTTCTTTGGAGTTAATGTTTAGTGCTCCTCAGTAAATCAATTAAAGATATTAATTGGAAGATGAGTCTCTTTTTTAGGTGAAATTTTTGAAAAAGTATGTAATCTCCAAGCAATTCTCTGGTACCCTTGTATCTCCATAACTTTAATTAAATGTCAAGTACAATTATTTCTCTCTTGCAATTAAATAATCTTAAGTGTATGTGACAGCTGCAAGCAATAAGTATTGGAAATATATAGAACCAGGTTTTTTTCCTTTACACCATATCATTTATTTTGTGTCACTATATATCAAATTCTAGTAATTCAGGTAAAATTTTACTTTCCATTAACTGATCTGCCCATTTATAATTATAATATCACAGAAATGTATTGTTCATTGATTAGCAAAATGAAAAATATAACCAGGTCTGTCTTTAAAAAAGGAACAAAATGAAATGCAAAGAATGTAGAATGTAAGAAAAGCCAATGTTTCATTTCTAAAATATGAAATTCAATAAATGCATTGTCCCATATGCTGAAGTTAAATAAAATTACTGTCTAAGAACAAAATTGACACCATGAAATTTCAGTCTGAAGTAGAGCCTGTGAATATATACTGATATAGATATATATATATATATATAATTAAAATCATTCCAACATTTATACCATTATCTTCTCTCCCCCTTAAAATAATCTTTCATTTGGGAAGACCATAAACTACACTTTGGTTCACAGAGATAGAAATATCAACAGTAATTTAAACAATGGCAATGTTGTCTTAAATGTACTATTCACAGACTGTGAGTTATACCTGGCTCTGGAGGGGAAAAGTAAAGTTTTTATGTAAATGGTTTTATAAGTTGGTTTTACATAAGCTGACATTTCCTTTACTTCTTTCCCAATTTTATTTTGTGAGTCTCCCATAAATTTTCAACTTTTTGTAGGAGAAAAATAATTCCCACTGTCAAGATGGCAAAAAAAGTATTTCTATAAATATCCTAACTTGCAGATATAGAATTTTTAAATATGAAATTAACAGTTTTTTGCTTTATCTTCCTAGAATTTATAATTTTATTTCTGACATCTAATTGAGGGAATCTGAATTCCACCAGCCATAAGTTTACCATCAATCCTGAAAGAGATTTTAAGTGTCTACTCATTTTGTTAATAATAATTGGACTGTTTAGTTGGAATTTAATTTACTTTGGAAAAAAAATTCTACAAATTTGTAACACAGAAGCCACAAAGGGTTGGAGGGCCATTAGATTTCTGAATAGTTCATAGAGTCAGTTTATGCTTCACTACTCTAACATTACTGTTGAGGTTTTTCTTTGCGATGCATTCCTTTTTCGTCACATTTGTTATGCATTGTAGAGGCTGTGATTTGAAATATGAATTAAGTTAGGAATAAAGAGGTCCCATTTAAGATGTGCAAAATTGAGCCATAGGGATGCGTGTCGAAAAATATTTCTGCATAAGAGCTCCCTTTAAAGATATATGCTTTAATACACATAATAAATTCTCAGATATGCTAATTTCATGTTGTTTCTGTGAACTCGTCAGGGGGGAATTTTGACAGCTCTTTTGACGCAGAGAAGGGTGTTGGGACGATTGTCATCGCAAAACCTTTGGATGCAGAGCAGAGGTCCGTCTACAATATGAGTGTGGAGGTCACCGATGGGACCAATGTTGCTGTCACTCAGGTGAGATGTTAAATTACTGAATAGCAAGAATGCCGAAAGAACTGCTGAAGTCAGGGGTGCAAGCAATGAAAACAGTGTATGGAAGTAGTAAATTGTGTCCGTGGATTTCTAGTGCTTAAAAAAAAATCATTTTAGAGAACAACCTAGAAGAAGGATTCTGTTTAACTTAGCTGCCTCTTCCAAGAAATTATGATTGTTCATGCGTGGAAACATGATATGCATTTGTTTGCTGATCGTTTACTGTAGATTTATCTCTTTGACAATGAAGTTAGCTTTCCCTGAATTTACAAAGGGGAGGACATCTATATTGTCTGAGTTAATATACCATGATATTCTTTACCTTCTCATTTTTTTTAGTCACAGAAAATTATAGCTAGAGAATACCTAAGAGTCCAAGTGCATTTTATAGACCAAGCTAAGCAATCTGTCCAAGGTCACACAGCCTTAATAACAAACAAGGGCTGGGATTCAGGTGTCCTGATTCCCTTTCTCCCATTCTAGCCTCTACACCACAGTTCTTTATCCTGACTGCACAGTAGAATCCCCTGGTTGTGGGGGGTGTTAAAAACACTGATGGCTGCACCCTTGCCCCAGGGATCCTATGTGATTCTAACATGCAGATAGGGGTTGAGGACCACTCCTTATACTGTTCTTTAACCTGAGTGTACATGAAAGGATATTGAGAGCTGAGAGGACGAGAAAACCTCTGGACTTTTCACATGGCTCAGCACATCTTCCTAAGTGAGATCAAGGCAGTGTTAGATATCAATATGGCGCAGACATGCCCTAAATATGAGAGGACTTTTTTGTTTTATTTCTTAGCACCAGAGAGCTTGGCTGGTTATGGCAGAGAGCTGGTGCACATATATATGCTATATAACGCCTCTCTTCCTCCCTGCTTTGTTTTCTTGTTCCCATGACCCCAGAAGGCACCACTGATTGATCAAGGTCCTTTTTCTTGCTGAGCCCAAATGTGTCCCCAGAATCATTCTCAACACAATTGAGGGTTCAGGTTGTGAAGATGGAATTTTTGCCAACCCTGAAGCAAGCAAGAGTCGGTTTGTTCTCATATGATGTAAGCATCTGTAACTAGGTAGTTCTAAAAAGGGGAGAGGAGTAGTATTTCATGTGCTTCTGTAGCCAGGGTGCCTCTTAGTTTGAAATTGTTTCAAAAATGCGATGAAATGGTTTCCTTCGAGTCTGTGTATAATCATACGATGGTAGAATTTGAAGAAAACAATAGGGTTCATTTCAGTACAACCCTTTTACTTTACATTCCAATAAACTGATACTTCAGAAAGGAGAAGTGACTTGCATAGATACGGCAGGCAGCGTGTGTGACAATTCCTGATCCTCGAACTTGTGTCCTTTCTCAGTAACTAGGATAGCCACATAACCCTGTTTGCGTTTAAGAGTCCCATTTACACCTGTTGCACTGATGTAGTTAGTAGTAGTACCCTGTTCACTCTCAAAATTGCCCCAGTTGGGACAATAAATTATATGATCACCCTGCCTAAAGCATATTGTTTCAGAGTATTTTCAAGTCTAAAAAATATAGACACATAGAAAGGACCCCATGGCTGAGGTTCTACGGGAACCACACAATCTGAAAACATGCCCCCAAGACTAATACAAAACAACCCACCTGCAGGACTGCTAAGTCTTTAGTATTAAATTCACTGTATTTGTGAATTTAAATCAGGTTTTTAAAATTAGTCATGTCTTAGCATACCCAACCTCAACTTTTTAGTGCCACTTAAAACATAAGACATATGTGTCCCTTTCCCCCCCTCCCCACCCCAAGTCAGAGCTTCAAGAGTGTCCATCCCTCAGACGGTGCACATCACACTCATTATGTATGTATATACCCATCCCCTCCTCCCCCCTCCCATCTGCCCAAGGCCCGATAAATGTTATTCCAATATGTACACTTAGGTGTGGATCAGTGAAGGCAATCTTCTGGTAAGTACATGTAGTGCTCATTTTTCCGTTCTTGGGATACTTCACTTAGTAGAATGGGTTCTAGCTCTATCCAGGAAAATACAAGAGGTGCTATTTCACCATTGTTTCTTATAGCTGAATAGTATTTGTACCCCCATAATATGCTGAAATAAAAAAGTGTTTTCTAAATATTTATCAATTAACATTGAACTAAAAAAAAAAAATAAATAAGACATTTTGAGTAAAATATCAATGAAGCATGGAACCATATTCACTTCCAGACTCTTCTCCAGAGTTTTATACCAGTTGAATTAAATGGTATTCAGTGTGCCTTGAACATTATGGATATTTTAAAAATTAAACATTTGATGAGTGAATGAATACCGGATACTATTTATTCAGCAGGGTCTATAGGGCAGGTATACTAGGTCTTCAAAGCACACTACTGATTCATGTTAACAACAACAACAAATCATCAATGAAACTTTTCTTTTAGAATTTCATTAGGACCAGATGAGAAATCATTAAACAGCATTTATTCCACAAATGGTTTTTTTTTGAGTTCATACCATATGCTAAGAGCTATAGTAGGTGCTAAATACTAAGATCACAGTGATTCAGAATTTTAAATCCAGGTGACTGATAAGCACTCATTTAAAAAATTAATATGGGAACATATATTACAAGGTTTTGAATGTACACATCACTTGAGTTCTGTTTTTGTTGATTTTATTTCAGACTAGTACACAGTTAGACTTATCTCCAGAGCAGTTCAGAAGGAGTTAGAGATGGACTTGGAGGTCCCCGTTGGCAGGGCCAAGATGAGGAAGTTATAGTAATAAAAGGTGTCAAGAGATTTTCTTGTCAAAAGCATCCAAGTCACTCTGTGTCTCCAGAGCCGTGACCTCCTTAAAAGTGAGAACTAACACTTTCCAAAGTATAAACTGGTGTCATCCTCATTACATCAGAAAGCCATTACTCTTTCTGTCGAGTTGTCTTCGGGCCCGACCACCTGCCAGCGTCGCCAACCCAGGCTTCTGACATTCACCACGCCTTCCCTGGCAGTGGTGGCAGGAGCTGTTCTCTGAATTAGTGAGCACCCTCAGTGTCAAGGACATTTTTACAAAAGGATGTTTTGAGAAATAAAAGACATTCTCAGTTTCTTTTAAAAAATCACTGAAGCACGCTCTAAACCATGACCCTAGGCAACTTAATGATTCTACCATCAAGCAGAGACCCTTCACCATATAACTAAATAAATATCCTGTAGCCCCAAAACACCTGTTCAGTTTTCCTTTGGGAACTTCCTCTACTTTGTTCATTCGGAATCATAAAACATGGTATGACACGGACTTCAAATCAGCCATAAACAACATGTTGAACTTTACTTCACATACGTCAAATAAATCAGAACCTTGCTGATTCTGTGTCTACATGAAAACCCTTCCTTCATCTTCAGTTTTGGCCTGTTCTCCCAACTCTCACAGGGTTCTTGTGCCTCTGAGCTACAGTATCTGATGACCAATAAATATCCCTTCTTTCCTGAGATTCCCTAGTGTGAGCCCAGAATGTGAGAAGGTCCTGTGGATTTCAAGTTATGAAGATTTGGATGAACTAAATCCAAGAACAAATCTTGCATTGATCTCTCCAAGATAGTTAGAGGTCCTAAGAGGTCCTGGAATTCCATAAGTTTTTAAATAGATTTTGGCGCACATGCATATTTTTCTAGAGAGAAACCCCATAGTTTTTTGTCAGGTGTTTAAATGGGTATGTGGCCTAAAAAATGATTAAGATAAAGTAGCTCCTTAACACGTTTTCATTAGCTAGCAACTCTAGTTAAAATTTGCAATAAACCACCACCCATATTTCCTAGGAAACACACACACACTTGAGGGGATTGTTGGTCCTATAAAGGCTCCCTAGCATTGGCACCTGGGTTTTCAGGGTGTTTAAAAACAATGTTGTGGATTAATAAAGAGACTAAGTTTGTCCCCCAAAGCCTTGGACAGTAAACAGGAAATTGATGTTCTTCGAGACTTTTTTTTTTAATGTAATATGAAATGCCGCCATTTCTTCAGCACTGCAGAAGTGTTCTCCTTGTTGATGTCTCAGAAGCCCAGAGATGAGAGAGGGTGACTGGTGGAGGAGGGAAGGGTGGAAGGGTGAAGGGTGGCAGTACCGTCTGCCCTGTCTGTCTGGAGAGGGGTCGAGGAATCCTAAGCAGCACAGGCTGTTACAAGCAGGGGAGGAGTAGAGCGTGTCCCAGTGGAACCAGAGGCCATAAGAGCAGGAATAATGAAATGCCAAGGAGGATGGGGTTTACCGTCCATTCGAACATAAAGGAGTGCTACAAAAACCATTTTAAGAGGAATTCTTCCCCTAGCACCCAGACTGTGGTCTTTGCAAATCATTTCCCATGGAAAGGAAGCGGTATTCCTTACAGAAATAGCAAATTCCAGGTTTGGGGCAGGAGCCTGGGGCATCATATCCTGCCAGAAAATGCTAGTGGAATCATGTCGAAAGGTGACAAAAGGCAACTTAAACCGGCTTCCACCAAAGACGGGATAATTCGAACATAAAAAAGGTTAATGGAGTAATGATTATAATAGACTGAAACACATGAAATAGATTTTTTTAAAAAGTGTTTACATATATTAATCCTCAAAAACAAATTCATGGGATGCTCATTGTTACACAGAGTGGCAGGTACTATTTGTGGCAGGCAGAATGGCTCTCCTTTAACCTCCCAAGGAGGTGCCCATGTCCTAATCTTTGGAATATGTGAATATATATGTCACATAGCAAGAGGGACTTTGCAGATGTAATCAAGGTTACAGATCTTAACATGGGGGAAGGATCTTGGAGTACCCAGGTAGGCCTAGGCTAATCATATGAGCCCTTAAGCAGGTAACTTTCTCCAGCTGGAGTCAGAAGAGAGGCCACAAAAGGGGAAGTCAGAGATTTGAGGTGTGGGAAGGATTTGAGACATCATTACCAGTTTGAATATGGCGGGGACAATGTGACAATGAATGCACGTGGCTTTAAGGAGCTGAGTGGGG